GGTAAGGTCTTCACTTGTTTGCAACTAAATTTCTGCTGTAATGCATTTCCTTGTCCTCAACTTGCTCACAAGATGGCACCAGAGCTCACAGTTTTGGAAACACCATTCAGAAACTGGATACCTTTTTCTAACGTCCTGTAAATTTATTCTTTTTGTCAGGGCAAAGCTGAAAGGATCAGAAGAATGTTCACAGGAAAGAGAAACAGGAGAACTTGTCCAACTGATGCAGGAGATGGCTGATCAGAAAGTAGTAATAAGCTAAATGTGTCAAATTTAGCATTTCCTGTGCATTTTATCAAACAGTACTAAAAGAATTATTGCTATTTGAAGGAATCGTTTTCCAATACTTCCACTGTCCCATAAGAAAGCTTTTCCTGCCCTGCATTGCTGAAGATGAAGGCTGAGTCTTTAATTTGCAGGATTGCTTTGAATTTGTCCTCACAGTACTTCACAGAATCATAGAAAGGTACAGGTTGTAAAAGATCTTAAAGATCATCTAGTTCCAACCCCCCTGCCATAAGCAGGGACACCTTCCACTAGACCAGGTTGCTAAGAGCCCCATCCAACCTGGCCTTGAACACTTCCAGGGAGGAGGCAACCACAACTTTTCTGGGCAACCTGTACCAGTGTCTCACCACCCTCACAGGAAATAATTTCTTCCTAATATCTAATCTAAACCTACCCTCTTCCAGTTTAAAGCCATTAACCCTTGTTCTATCATGACCTGCCCTTGTAAAAAGTCCCTCCCCAGCCTTCCTGTGGGTCCCCTTCAGGTACTGGCAGGTCCCTATAAGGTCTCCCCGAAGCCTTCTCTTCTCCAGGCTGGACAGTCCCAAGTCTCAGCCTGTCCTCATAGGAGAGGTGCTCCAGCCCTCTTATCATCCTCTAGACTCACTCTAGTAAGTCCTGCTTATAGACTACAATTTACAATGATGAAAAAAATTCACATTTCAATTTTCTTGTTGTCTTTTTTGTGACCCCTTGGTCCCCTCCCTTCCCACCAATTTACATTAAAGCAGGGAAGCCTTCTTGTGAATTTCACCATGACCTTTTCTGTAACATATTTACTGACATTTCCTTTCCTCTTTATTTCATTCTTCACCTCCCTCTCATAAGCTTTACAATAGCTGGATGGCCATTCTCCATTAAGTAGAAGGTTACCATTCCTCAGATATCTTAGCTGAATGCAAAAAGCCCCACCCTACTGCAATTCTAATATACATCTTTCAAAAAAAAATCACATCTGACTGTATTCAACATATGACAGGCTACTTTCCTTCTATCCCCTGTTCATATTTGATTAAAGGCTTCTTTGTTTTTGTAGGCTGTTATGAATGACTTTTCCTGCCTCAGAAGAGGGTTTATAAAATTCATACATTGTGTTTCACTAAAATAGTGATGAAAATTTCAGTAAACTGACTATGCCCAAGCAAGCCTTCCTCCAAACAGTCTGAGTGAGTAATCTGCAGTTCTTTACAGTCTGACTTTGGTGTGGTGGACTTTCTGTGGGACTTCGAGATAAGTTTAGAAAGACTTGAAAATACCTGCTTATTTCCCCTTCTTTATTTTTCCTTGCATTGGTGCTTAATTTCTAACATTGATTAGGAAAACAGTTACAGAAAATGTGCAAACAACCCTCCTTGGTAGAAATCTGTGGACTTATGCCATGCTTGAAGCTCAACACAGCGAGAGGCATGTTATTGAATGGAGTCCTTATGGACTTATATTTCAAACTCCTTTGCAGTGATTTTATGTGACATTTTGCCCTTTGATAGGCAGAAAGATAAGAGCAAATAAGATCCAAATGACCTTTGTTTACTTGTTGACTGTGGTGACCCAGCTTCTCTTAACAATATCGTGACTAGAGTGACTTATACTTAGAGCTCCACTTGCATTGCTCTGTTGATTCTCTTACTAATTTGCACAGAAAATACTGCCTTATTAGTGCTGATTCATGTAGTTTTCTCTCTGTCTCCCCTTGATTGTGCAGCATGCCTCTTTAGGATAAGGACTGCCCTTTCTTAATGCCAGGAAACCACCTTGCCACTTAGGTGTTGCGACAACTAAATTTTTTTTTTTTTTTAGAAATATCCTCCCCTTCCACTCAAATCACCAAGGAGCCTTCTGGTATGAAACAGATGATGCAATCACTCTGTTGCACAAGTATTAACCTAAGTCTTATTTTTTTGCAATACTTGAAAAAGTTTCTGGACTATAATAGTTGGCTGTAAATTTTCCATTGAAATAAGGAGACATATAAATACATTATAACATAGAAGACACTTGTAAAATGATCATATGAGTAGAACTTTCTCAAAAAAAAAACCTTCTGTTTTTTTTTTTTTTTAAATGTGTGTGGGAGTAAGACACTTAGCGTACAGAAAGGGGTGCCTCTTAGAGAATGCCTAAGGGGGTTTAGCTGTCTTGCTGTGGTAGTAAACCTCTGACTCCTCATTGATACAACACTACACAGACCTCCACCAATACTTCCTATTCAAAAGCAGCAGTATTTGTATTTGTGGAAATAGACACAAAAAGAATTCAGTCAAAATGCACCTACTCTTGCCTCTAGCAAGGATGCACATAAAATACAGTAATAATTTCCCTCTGTTGCACAGCCTGCAAAACTTGTACTCAGATAATAACAATTTTTCTGTTAATAATACATTTGACTTCATACGACCCCCTCCTTTACTCTAAATTAAAATTATAGCTGCTCACTTTTTCACATTTTGAATTTGAATAGTTAGGCTGGACTCTCACAATGAACATGCTGCTGTTCAGCTCGTCTTGAACTCAGACAAAAAGAAAGAGACTACTTCAACAAATCTAAATTTTCAATCATTCCTCCAGTTTTAACTGGAAGTAATTTTTAAAAACCTGCTACAGGTTTTTTTTTGGTGGATTTTTTTAATCTTTTGGCTTCTCGGTGAACATATCTCTTGAAAACAGCTCTTGCCTATGCTGGTGTAATCAGATTCTTTCCCTTCACATAGCTACAGTGCCCCTCAATTTCACAATGACTGAAGTGTTAAAACAAGAGTTTCATGAAAAGGCCTAATAATCTACTGGCTATAGGTTAATTACTTACGACTTGTCCACTGAGTACAGGTTTGCTGGCTTTTTTTTGTTTCTGCAAGGGTCTGGCTAGCAACACAGGTAGTAAGTAAAAATCCATTCATTGAAGTTTCTTAATTTTTAATAGATTGTTACCCATGCCAAAGAGGTTAGCAAAGCATATATATTTTATATGCATGTAATCAAAACATACATGATTATAACCACAAGTTCAAAAGAAAACCACAGCTGCAACTAATCATACTCTTCTGTGAGAAAGAAAGTGAGGGTGTTATGGTAAATAATCAAGATGCCATCTTCATTTCTTATTCAGTAAAGTTAGGCTTTCCTTCCAATTAACTTTTACTGTCACAATCAGCCTTTCAACTCATCATTGTATGGACTAAAGGATTGGAAAGGAAATGCATATTAACCATTTTTCCCTGACATCTACCTCTTAAGAAAATGCATCTTTTGCTAGTCCCTTACTCAAAACATACAAGATGGTTTGGTTTTGTTTTCTCTGAAGCTTGTTATTTGACCAAACATAACCCTCAGCACATGATCTCTATGCATATGTCTGCTTGTTTGTTTTTCTGTTTAAATTGAAAATTATCATGTATATGTCCCATAAATTTCTCTGATCAGAACCTCTCTCTTCCACTTATCCTGTTAGGACAATAAGGATTACCAATAAAATAATGTTCTAGTGTGAAGTCCTCCATGGATGAAATCCTTCATGGCCTACATGTGAGTGTTCCTTTATGGTTGAACCTCCATGGACCACCTCTCCCTACTCTTCTCCTTGCTGATCTGGGTGTCTGAAGGTTTCTGCCTCCTTCCCTCCTCCTCTTTCCTCATGTTGTGGATGCTCTTTTTATTCAAGTAATGGTCTCTTGATGACCCTCCTACCTTGCCAAACCAGTTCTTCTCCTAACAAATATGGATGCAAAGACATGTTTCGCTATCGCTAATTGTCTCAGCCTGGTCTGGAGATAGGTCCACCTTGGAGCCAACAGAGCTTCTCAAAACTTCTCACAGGGGCCATCACAATAGCCCCTTCTCCCACTAACAAAAACAGCCCCCTTACACAAATGCAACACAACTATAGATCTTGGAAAGTAATTGGGGTAGATCAAAACTTGACCCTGTGGGAGGCACATGGGAATTTTCTCCAGCTCTAGCAATGCTGATGTTTCTTCTAGGATGTTTTCTCCTTTCCCGATACCTAATTCTGTTATCCTACACCATCCCAATATGAAGCAAAGGCCTGCAAAGTTTAACACAAATTAGCCAAGATCATCTTTGATTTCCCTATAATTTAGCATGGCATGGTTCAAATGAGTAATTGGAGGCCACCGTAACAAAGAACAGCAGTGTTTGCACAAGCTACAAACAAGTAATGCTTAATTTCACCAATGCACCTGATAGCTGTAATAATTCATTTGCACAGCTTCTAGCACAACCGGGACAGTATGAACTCTGTCCAAAATAGAAGTAGTGACTGGCTTTTTCACTTTGGAGATAACATATAAAAAAATTTATGCAACTCAACAGGGAAAAGATAAAAATCCTACTACATGAGCTATGAGAGTTTTTTCTTTTCTTTTTTTTCCCCCCTCCCCTCTATGGAGAGCACCTAAAAGTTTTATTTACTCTGGAATTTAAATTAAAAAGGTCAAGACAGATCTATCATTATTTTTTTATATATATTGTGAATTTTTTTAATAAGTTAACTTTATTTATTTTTCTTACATCTGGCTTACATAAACTGTAGCTGAAGTGAAATGGAAGGGTATAGGCTCAGCTATTCTGTGTGATACTGCTACACTTTTTTTTTATTATTTAAGTTATTTACTCATCTTTCTTTCATGCACTGTACACAAAAAACTGGAAATGCAGAAAAGCAACAAACAACATGCAAGGTTGCACATGAGTTAGTTAATTTTATTTTTAAAAATTTATTTGCTTTGCATAGATGAAAACGTTATCTTTTTCACTATTATTCAAGCAAATAGAACCTTGGAGGAATTCTTTTGACTTTGGATAAATGAAGGCAGCAAGAGATATTAATGCCATTCAGAATAAAGATACTAAAAAAATACAGTCTGAGTTATAGGTTTTCTAGGTAACACATATAGATTAAGTACTGCTCACTGTGTAAAGCCTGTATTCTTATAGATAGCTGAGGCAACTATAAACACCCCCAGCAACAGGGCTTGAGTGTATTGCAGGAACATGAAACTTAGTTATCACTTCCACATAAAGCCACCAGGATGTTTTCATAATCCCCTTTGAGTTCATCCTGTCAATTTAAGTAAAAAAAAAAATCACAACTGTTAGGATAATGGTCACAATGAAATAAATTTCAGTACCTATGCAATATACATGTACATCAGTCTTTCACCTAAATAAATTAATCACTTGATAATACATATGTGCCAGTCACAGACTGAGCTTTAACTGTGTACCCTCACTAAAGTTATTTGTATTACCTAGAAATAAACATATGCATTTCTAGAGTGCAGCAGAGGTAGACATGGACAATAAAAATTCTAGGAGGACTCATGCCATAAATAAAACAGTACGGAAGATTTCTATCACCCATGAGCTTAGGCCTTTTTTCAATAGTTAAAGTGAAAACATCTTTCCTGATCAGTGATGTCTAATGTTCATTAATATTAAAACACTAGACACGTATTTAGGATTGTCTCAAACACAAGCTAGCAGTACAGTGATATTTATACCACCATAGAATCGCTTATTCGGCTTGGAAAAAATAGTTACTATGCATTAAGTATACACTTTAATTATTATATGCCATATTTTCTCAAATTTTAATCTCCTTTGTAGAGTCATATGAATTGTTTAGTGTAGCCAAGCTATGCCTCAAGCCATTTGGACACAATCCTCACTTTGGAACGTGATGAGGTGATGTAATTACATGCCAAATTACAGATCACACACACTTGTGATGGTAAAATAAAAGTGATTTTGCCACCTAACTGAAAAAGTAGCAGACACCAATAAAAATATAAAAGGTATTTTGATACATGTAGAGAGTCTGTTTCTATTTCAATCATGGCTGGGTTTTTGGTTTGTTTTTTTTTTTTTTTTTTTTACTGTTGTCTACTAGTCTTCAGTCTTCACAAAGCTGCTTTGCAAGTTTAGTTTTCTTCAAGTCCCTCACTGGTTTAAATTTTCTGGAAAATACATAGGGTAGTCTGTTCCCTTTAAGAAGATATTTTTATTTAAGTCACCTGGAAAGCAGGCCAAATACATATCAAGTTAACAAGGTATTTGCAGGAGTATCTCAAATGTTAAAAACTATAGCTAGTTGCATCAAATATCTCCCATAGAGATGTCAGTGCAATCACTTCCATTCCCCTGCCGATGTACTTTATGTCTGCCCAAGCACAGGAATGTGGGAATACTGTAGTCACCATACAACTCTTCGCTTCTACTGTAAGAAAATATCTTGTGACACGTACCACTACTAACAAATTACTAAAGTTTTCGTGACAAAAACATTGAATTAGGTCTACCAGCATGTGGATCATTGGTAATATGAGTTACTTAGCTACAGTGACTTACTCAGGATGAACTGGTGACTGAGGATAAGAAGGCTTAACAAACCCTTAGTGAACTTCCAATATTCGATTGGTTTGCATTTCATACGTCATCTGCGAGAAAACATACCATAATGGCTTGGCGGAGAGAAATGCCATAGAGCTTTTTGTAATAACCTTTGATCTCATTCATATCCACTTCATGGCGTGAAACCATGATTCTGATGAGGTTTTTATGCCGCGTCCCAGAGCCCTGTTAAAGGAGGGGGGGGGGGGGGGGGGAAGTAAAAAGAAAAAAGATAAAAAGAAAGGTTATTTATGTTATTGAAACTTCTCAAAGCAAGGTGTTGTGTGTTAATCCATCAGATTTATTTGCAAGTGTACAGAGCCCACATCCTATTCCCTTAACTTCTCTCATGAGGGAGTCCTCTTATATCCTCCTTCTGTTCCCTGTGAGCACAAATAACTTTTGATAGGCTACCTCCACTCCTGTATTTCCTTTTTATGCATTTCTTTTAACTGTTTCCTAAAAAAAGTCATAGCCTTCAATGTGCTTGCTAGACACCAGAGACAACCTAGACTTCACTGCCTTTTAAAATTATTTTTTAAGACTGTAATGACCTGTATTTTCATAATGATTCACTCAATTTTTCACATACTGCTCCTAACTAAATCACAGGAGCTATGAAAATACTTGTATACTAGACTGTCTCAGGATCTTCAGCTGCTTCACTCAATTCAGGTTTCAAATTTGCCCAAAGGACCATGGATGTCTTGTCAAAGATGAGGCTTCTACAAGGTATTTGTCCAGATCTGTAATTGCTATCCTATTTATTCTTCACTAATATTTTTATGGTTTCATAAATAAGAAAATTTCCAGTTAGCTTTCTTTCAGTGTCTAGAATAAAAGATGTATGTGTGGATAGACAGATGCCTTCCTGAACACGCTAGAGCAAACACAGCTCCTCCTATGGAAAGACAGTCAAAGATTTCAAAGAAAAAAATAGTACTTTTTTTTTTTTTTTTTTTTTTTTACACAAAGGACTTCAAGAGCTCTAGCTAGCTTGTGATTTTTCCACTTACAAAGCATCCCATGTTTACAAAGAGTTCTTTCTTTGGATTACCTTCATAGCCAAGTGGAGTTTTTCAGCAAAGAAAGCTGGCTTGCTTGTGGCACACTTCACTGTAATGAAACAATGAGATAATGTAATATCTGTTATACATGGAACAAGTAACAAGATGCAAGAGTTTGGAGAGAATACTCTTTAAATGCAGTCTCAGTGTTCTTACCAGCATATCCTATTTATCTACTTCTTTGTTACATGTCTTCCAAATATGGAAGAAGCATCATTTCCTTTCCTCTGTCTATTCAGAAAGCAGTTCAGTCAGGGGAAAATAGTTACTGCTCTCTAGTTTTCTACCACAGAATTAAGAAAAATGTTGAAGTTCCCAAGGAGAAAAATATGAAAGCATTTGTGCCTTCTACAGCAGAGCTGGAGGTTATGATCTGATGCTTTGTGAACACCTATTGTGCCTTGTTTGATAGGTCTTTTTGGCTTACTGACTTCCTGTAAAGATCTTCCTACACTGATGACATAACTGTTCTCCTTAAAATACCTTTCTGCATATCAAGAGAGGTATTTCTACTTATACATCAACTCTAACTGACTTCAAATAGCTCAATTAATTCACTATGTTTGGAGTAGATTTTCTGAAGTCTTACTTAGCAAGTTTCTCAGTGAAGCAGGGTAAGCCCAGAATGGCTTCCTATCAGAGCTAGTATGACAGAAGTTAAGAAGTAGGTTTTCATATTGTCAGTACATATACTAGGTTACCATCTGCAGAACCACTTACCAAGGGCAGTCAGGCAGTTTTCAATATCACCTTTCAGTTCCAAATCCAGTACCTTATTCATGTCATGCTTGCTATATTTGGTGTACTTCTGAAAGACTAAATAAGGGAAGAAAACTCAGTGAATAGTGATGAAAATACAGTATTCTTCCTGCACTGCCTCTGCCTTATTTTGCCCTCACCACTGCAGCAGTGCACATGGATGACTGTAGGCCTTCTTTCTCATTTTCTTTATCCAGCACAGTGTAAAAAGCAGTGTTACTGCATGGCTGGTGGAGTCAGCACAAGGCATGGGACTTTGTTAGAATGGTAGTGTTCATGTTCTCATTGATAGGGACAGAGATGGTCCAATGACACCACTGGAGCCTGGGACATTAGGTAATATCCTTCAACCCAGAGGAAACTGGCTGAGGAGCAAAACCATGTTGGGGAGCATTCAGAATCCCTGACCTACCTATCCCTTGGCCTTGTGATCACTAGCTATGTGAGACTTCATGGTAACATTTTTGTTAACAACCTCAATGATATTGCTTATCAATGATAAAGAAAGAACAGCCCAGTTGCCAACCGCATGCTTTATCAGCAAGCATATATCCAATTACAAAGACCTATGTAGAATTCAGAGTCACATCTTGGTAATCTGTATCTTCTCTGAGTTCATGAGCAGCCCATATTCAAACTACAGTTCCTGTGAAGCCCAGCATTTCATCCAACCTACCCCTTCGGAGATGTTGGTAGCTTCTTGTAGTAAGAACAGTAACAAAAACATTAATATCTGTTCCTTTCCTTCTCTCTCCTGCTTCATACAAGGCCTGTCATAAAGAAAATAAAGTAGTAAAGTTAAAATCAGTATGGTAAAACCCAAACAGAAATGCTGTACTTCTGATGCTACCAGCCAAAACTTGGCCATTGCTTGTCAGCAATGAACTGTAGCCCTCAACACAATCCATAACAAAAATTGACACAATCTCAAACTAACTCTAGCTATATCAAGTAATACTTAATACTTCCATCACATCATAATAGTACCTAGAGAACACTATGCAGCTACAAAATGTATTTTCAAACATTTTACAATCACTATCTAGCTCTTCTGAGTATATTACACTCTTGAATGAAGATATTTTTCATATATCATTATATGCCTAGAGTCTGCATGAGAATTTAGGACTGGTAAGCTTTCTTCAGATAAACAAAATTAGCTCTGATACTAACTGGAAAAATTTGAAGGAGCAGCCTGCATACCAAGTACTCCTTGTCTTTCCATAAGCTACTTTAATGGAAAGTTAGAACCAAATTAGTCTCCTTCATTTTCCTCACCTCAAGCCTCTCTAGAAGTAATAATTAAAGATCACACAGCAGCAAAGAAGATTTAACAACAGTCTCTCTGCACCAAGAGAAATAGTATTGAACTTTTGATCTTAGAAAGAGTATTAATTTACTGATCTTTCATTTATAGGACTGATGAGAAAACTAAACTCCTTATGTAGTTGCAATAAAAGCTCAATGGCCTTTTCTTTGTTGGATTTTTAAAAATCAATTGAAAGTCAATCTACATTTAAATTGTAACACTGGTATAAGCTTTTACAGATGAAAACTCAGGAAAGACTGCTAAGATTTACCAAAATTTTAGCAAAAATAGTCACACTAATGATGGAAAAATAAGGGAAAGATCAGTTGCTTATTTCAGAATTATTCAGAAAATGACCGTGAAGTTTGATGACCAAATAAGCTTGAAAGGTTTATCACTGTAAAGCAATAACTATAGCTAGCATACTGCAGAGTTCACACTCGTCAAGGTATGGTAGCTGGTTCTGCACCTACTTGAGCACATCCCTGTCTTTCAATTCAAGAACTGTGTTATAAACAGAGGAAGATTGTGACTCATTTCTCCCATTGTTGACATCTACTTCAAACTGTCTGCATGTTCTACAAGAACTAGGTCTTACAGAAATTTTTCTGAATCTAGATATTAGGGTGAAGATTTAATATCCTTCAGATAGTGAAGGTTACATGAACTTTGTAAAATACTATCCCCTCAGAGAAGATTGCTGTATAACAGATAAATCTCTGTTAGGTCTGCAAAGCAAAAGATTCAGACAGAACATTTGCAGCCACAGTTTGTAGTCTCAAGTAAGTCAGCTAAAGAAGGTCTGCAGATTACAAAGTATGATCTTACCCTGGCATCATTGTCAGCAAGCTCATCATTCACATAAGAATCTTCACATCGGTCAGCCTACATGAATAAATAAAAAAATAAAATTCCACTGGTACTCACAATCATCCTGTTCACCAAAACTCAGGATTTTAGAGTTCTGCCCTATCATTCTCATATATAACTTAATATATAATTGCAGATAGATACAGTTATGTCAATTGTTCTGTGCATAAAGCTGTTGTATTTGTTATCAATCACAGTTCACATTTCTAAGGCCATCAGCAACCTATTTCTGAAGTCCTGCATTATAATCCATAGGAAATACTGTTTCTTAATGTGAAGTTACAGGCTCAGAAGCTGGGATTTTCTCCCTGATGACCATTCAATAGAGCCCTTTCAAGTTGGTTTGAAATCAAAAACTGAAAATCCAAATGATGCACATGGATATATATAAAAAAATAATCCCGCATTCATGTGTAAACTTCATATACATGTACTCAACAGTCAAGGAATCAAGTCTTTATGCATTTTAAAAGTGTCCTTTTATTGAGCAGCTGCAGTGTTTAAACTCATCTGCTTTTGAACATAAATTCGCAAAATACTTTGTACACTTGTTAGGTTCTTTCCACTCTCCCACCACCTAACTACCAGAAATATATCTTAACAGCAAGTAAAAGGGTTTATTTCTCTAATTGTAAGCATTTCTTCTTTTTCTATTTCTATTCAATTGACATAACATCGTCCTGTTGGTTTTTTCAAGTGCTTACAGAAGTTACCACAAAAAAATTTCTTAAAATCGTAACTGATAAAAATAAATGTCACTGTTTTTCAAAACATATTTGAAATAAAATCTCATTATAGCTTGTTTAAGAACCATTTCATACAGTCTAACATATATAAATAAAAATAATGCAAGGCAATAATTATTACCTAAATCCTTATTTATTGTATGTCTTTTTTTAAAATTGTCTTGACAATATGATTTTTTTAGTATGGGTATTGTAATTCAAAGTATTTAAGCACAGTATACCTTGGCTAGAGCAACCAAAGCCTTCTGAAAGTCTCCAGATGTATCAGAGATAATATCTTGTGTCAGGTCTCTCTTCAGCACTGAAATAAAGAGAAAACAGATTTGTATTTTGTTTCAAAGTTGTCAGCCAGGTTGACTAGATGATCTTTAAAGCTCCCTTCCAACCTAAACCATTCTAAAATTCTGGGATTTTTTTTAGCCTTTTTTTTAACTTCCCACTTAAATATGCCTACTAGAAATGCAGTTTTCTTACTTTCTCTCATTTAGCTTTTAGAGAAGGGGTATATTTGTAACATGTCCTCTAACCCCTGAAATGTGCTGTGAAATTGGAGGCTAAACCTAAAATCTGCTAAAAAGGTCTTGTGGGTCGCATTGTCTCAGGCTCTTGCTTGTAAAATATTAAAAAAAAGCTTGAAACTTTTTCTGAGACATTTGTCCTTCATTTTTATTCCTGGTTGTTCTTAGCAGGACTAAACTCAACCACAAAATACTTCCAAAAAATCAAGCTACTAGTTTGTGCTTCTAACTGAGACTATCTGAATGGAAATCTCTTGGAAAAGTTAGCCCATAACCTCAGAAAACATTATTTGATTAAACAACACTGACTGACTGGAGTAAACTCTACACATATGAGAGATACCACACTACGTCTTAGCTACCTCTTCAAAGGTTGTCCCCCTTTAGTTCACTGTTTGCTCCTCCTGCTAATGTTATCTGTGTTGCTAACTCAACAAGCTTTTTTTCCAAGTCTAGTGAGATCTTAAGAGGTCAGCCAAGGCTTAATTACAAAAGAAGAAAAGTAGCTGGGTTTTTCTTGCATCCTAGAAAGCATCTAAATCCATGGCCCATTCCATGAGACATCTGCAGTCCTGGCAGCAATGATGTGCCTTTTCCATCTGTCTTGGGATCTATGTAGTATAGAAAAAAATAGTATGACCCTGCAACTCTTTCAATGTTATATGAAGCTTCACTTGCCTTCTACAGTGTCATCTCAGCTTCTCACATTGAGAAATGGGCATGTGACTGTAATGTGTCTGCTATAGAGTTATACCATTAATCCTTCTTTCTTGCTCTGAATTACCTTCTTTGTAGTATCTGCTGGCTTCTCTGATCTCTCTGTTGTTTCTTGAGACCAGAATCTCAATTAAGGTATCTTCATCAGTTCCAAGCCCCTGAAAAAATGGTTGAATTTTTAGAAATGTTATTTGATACAACAAACTTGAAATTTAGAAGACCAGAAATAAGATGAAAATCATGGATTTGGCTTTGAAGGCCCTATGTGGAACAAGAAAGAAAAATGAAGAACACATTCCATACAATAGTGTTATTTCAGCTCTTTTGGAATTAATTTTTTATCAGACCTAATATCAGTGGTACCCAGAAGAAGTGCTGAAGGGACCATGCAGCGCACTTAAAAGACAGGAATGTAACATTTATGAAGAAAAATAACCTCTTCACTTTTTGTTTTCTTTTACATAAACATGTATGTAAACACCAGTGCTTCCTAACACTACATCAGCAACCAGTTTTCAGGAGGCAGAAAGAGTGCGTTCGCACAAAAGAACACAATTTGCAGCCAGTCTCCTCCAACTCTGAAGTTCAGCGGAGATTGCTGGGTCTTGTTCTCAGAACATGGATTACCAGTATAGATTTATTTTAAAAATGGGGCTAAAATGAAGACAACACACAAGCTTTGAAATCCAAATCCAGTTTCACAGCTCTGATAATTATTTACGCTATTTATGGAAGTTTTTCTCAGAAGATTTAGTCTTACCTTCATAGAAGCTCTTAACTCTTCAGCATCAAATTGAGCTGGAGTTTTAAGAAGAGCCACAACCACATCTTCCAGGTGGCTTTTCAGAACTTTTTTCAAGGCTTCTTCCAGACTCTGTGGTAAGAAGAATAAGAAGCACTCTAAGCTAGTGAATGGTAAAAAGCTCATGTTCACTTACAGGCTAAAAAGTAATTCTGATCTCTGGTGAACCTTACTCTATATCATTCCTTTAGCTACTGGAAAGAATTATTAAGCTCTGCTTGGGATTTTTAATTTGTCTTCTTTACGTTAATCAAAGTGTCAGGGTTTTATAATAAGTATTCAGGAGTGCTTTCACACATTGCAGTTCAGCCATTCACCCATTTATGGTATCAGAAACAGACCCAAAATAGGCTGCTTGTTTTTTAAGACAAGGTAATATAATATTGCTGCTATGATTGTAACTGAGTTGCGTATGTGGACAACATTTTAATTCATCCATTTATTGTATATAGGAAACAGAATTTGCAGTGGAAACTCTGTGAACATACAGTAATATCGCCTTACACAAAACTGCAAGTTCTCAAGTTAAGATTTGGGTTATATTCTAAATTAAGGGGTTTTTTTAAAAAAAAAAAATAAATATGATTTATTCTACCTCCTATCTGGAAATGCTCTGTGTTGTTATATGAAAAGTTACAGCCTTGTTCTCCACCAAGTGTCAAGGCTGTGGCTGTAAGAGTGAGGTCAACCTGCTTTGTCAGGATACCTAATCCAATGAGATTATTTCAGAAGAAAGCACTATGTCCATAGTTAGTTCTGTTCTGCTTTTGGTAGTGCACCAAGAACAAGGATAATAATCTAACAACATTAGTTTCCTCATGGTTTTGAAGTTATGTTTTAATTTAGTCCTTAAAAAATATAACTGCAAGGCTGAAGCTTCCTCTGAGAGGGGAGAGGGCTCTGAAAATCACAGAGGTTTCCTGAACAGAAACAGGAAATCTAGTCTAAAATGAGATATTAAAATTATTTTCTAAGTTGGCTGTTAAAAATTACATTTTGAGTTACAAAGCAGAATCACTTTCCAAGGAGCATATGCTCAGCCACACTGGTATGTCAACTGTGCAATTGTAATTTCACTTTAGAGTTCAACTGGAGAAAATTTGTTATAGAGAAAAGTAAGAGCAATTAAAACCTTCTCCAGAAACATGCAGTGATTTCCAAACTTCTCAGTTCCAGGGACTAGCAGTTTTACCTCTGTTAGAACACTGTCCCCTGTACACCTATCCCCATACCAGTGTTAGTATACTTGTGGAGTATCATTATGGTCCTACAACTTTTCTATCCTATTTACTATTTTATCTGAACTTCTATACTCAGAGAGATACCTTCCATACCTTTCTGCATTTCTCCCTTTCTCTGAGCAGATTGTCTCCCAGGTTGTCCTGGTTTTGCTATGATAGAGTTAATTTTCTTCTTAGTAATTAGAATAGCTTTTATTTTTTTTTTGTTTCAGTGTAAGACTTCTTATGAGAGGAATGTTGATAAAAGTACTAATGTTATTAGTTGCTGCTGGAGCTCAAGGCCACCATGTTTGGCTGGTTCACAGCTGCGTTAGGACTGGGAGGGAGAAGCGCAGTGAATAGCAAAACCCCAAAATTGACATTTGGATGTGCCAATGAGATATTCCATATCATATTTTGTCATGTTTAGTATATTAACCGGGGCTGACCAGAAAGGGGGGAATTCTCTTGGGAATCACTTGGGCTCACTTTTCTGGGATTGTGATTTCAGTTTTGGGGTTACTTTTCGCTCCTCCAGGATCATTATCAGCGGGTGATGAGCAATTGTACTCTTCATTCCTCATAGATATACACATATATAATTTTTATCATTATTACTCTTATTATTATTATTTTATTTCTACTCTAATTATTAAATTGTTCTTATCTCAACCTGTAAGTCTTCTCACCTTTACCTCTCCAATTCTCTCCTCAGTTCCCTAGGTCGCAGTGGAAGTGGGTGGGGGGGAACTGCAAAGTGGCTGTGCCTTATTTGACTGCCAGCTAAGTTAAACTATCACACAGGTGACAGTGAAATCTCTGCATTCCCAGCAATTTAGTGATTTAAAGGATCTCTAGGGCATTAAAAAAGCTGGAAAGCCAGAAATTCAAAATTTTTCTTTCAATTTCAAAATAGTGTCCATTGTATTCAAAGGCTTAGCACTGGCAATATAGTTGCAGGATATTATCATTCTCTCATGGTTTTCACAATCTACAGAAAGCAGAAGACTGTAACTTTTTATTCTACAAAGCTAAAGCTGTATGTACTATCTGAACCAGGAGCAATAGTGATAATCTGGGTACAATTTTAAGCTTGACTTGAACATACTTTACCTTTCCTTTAGCCTGCTGATAGGCAGCTTTGATCTGCTGACGCTGAGCATTTGTTCTTTTAGTCAAGATGTCAATGATGGTGGCTTCATCTACACCTATGAGTCATCAAACAAAAACATGTCTAATATACTGGAAATATTATAGTGGTCTCTAGTGCATTTTTTAGTCAAATAATAATTTTTACATTTTATTATTTCTTTTATGACATATTTTGATTTCTAGACACACTGAGGTTTAAAAAAACCTGTAATCATCAACTGACTTTCAATTAGTGATGTAGGGAAGAATCCAAATAAATAGATTCCCATAAAACACAGAAACCTATGTTGCTACAATTTCATAACAAGTCTTAAAGTATTCTGAGTGCAGAACTTACACTACAGAATAAATAAATAAATAAAGGAAATAATTAGACAGCATAATCATTTAACCTCAATAAGTCAAACTGAAAAAGGTTTCAAAGTACAGACAAAGTGCTAAATGTGATTTTAGTTAAAAGAGAGAAGTGCAAAAGAAGGTCATACTACATTATTAGCATATTCACTGCCTGTTGCAGGAATTTTATGGAAATCAAATAAAAAAGTATTAGTATGGTATGTTATATTATTTTTTTTATTTTCTAGAAAGTAAATTTTTTACAACCTTTCCTTCAACATATTCCTGAACTTAAGGTCTGAAATTGTAGTACATCAGGATAGCAAAGACTTGAGATCCTTCACAAAGTGGCATAATCCAATGTATTACCAAGCTTTCAAAATCAGAGGCACCTCTCCTGCTTGCCTTTGCCTCTCACTTTGTCATTGTATTCAGTGCTACTCTCAAAATTTCCTAAGCAAGAGTCCTGATGTAGCAGGTTAAATACTCCTCTTACCCTTTACAGTAATAGCTTTGTCCAAAGCAACAACATCAGCTGACGGATCAAAGTTAGGATATGACTGTACTCCAGGGCCACCTTTTGAACTTTTCTAAAGAAGGGGGGGAAAAAAAAATCAAATTAAAAAAAAAAAAATTGCTTATTCCAAAAAATATTTTTGCATAGAAGCAATTTTAGATGCCTGAATAAACCACGTATTTGAGAGTACATATTACAGGACTATCAAGGAACACATAAATTTCGTAACTACAGAGAATTAAACAAACTCAGTAATGGATATGCGTTTGTACTTTCAAACCTTTTATATTAAACAGAAAGTACTTCATGTATTATTTTAGGCACCTGAAGACCTGTTTCTCAGAGTAAGTTGGATTCTACAGGAAAATACTTCTTAGCTGTCATGTTAGGAAATTTTGTCCAACTTTTACAGGCTCTAAAACCATAATTAAATCCTGTAGGCACTGACAGAAAAGTGCTACTAATTTTCTTACTCATCTTATGCAAATTGACTGCACATCACATTAAGAGATTATTCAGCTGACTCATATATAAGGCTACGAGCACTTCTTGCATGCAAGATCTTGGAGAAGAGTTCAAGTCTAACCCTACAAGGAAGTGGAGAACTGTTACCCAGCTTCCTTGAAACTTGAGACGTAAGCCACACTTTCTTCACAGGCATTATCTATGGGCTGCCTTTGGTGAATCCACTCCTAGATGGGCACTCCCTAGTCAATGTCTAAAGTGCCTGGGAATAACTAGGGATGACGAATTCCACTACATGATATATTACATGGCTTGGCCTAAGTCAGCAACATGACAAATCAAGTTACCAGTAGAGCCTACAATACAACAGCACTACCTACCTATGCCTTCTTTACTGTCTTTTACAGAAGCTACAAAATGCCCCAAGATTCTCGAATGAAATATTTATATAAAATTCCCCTTAGTATAATAAATGGTAAGATTTTTTATTTTAAAAAGCCTCCAGTAGTTTATCTAAACTTTTTCAGAATCCCCTATATTCTTTGTCACGTTTCAACAACTCACTATTTTAATTTTTTTTAAATCCTTTGTTGCTAAAGCTAAATAGCACAAGACTAATGACAAGGTCTTATGGATACTTGTTTTACATACTGCATTCTTTATTGAATTTTATACACTTCTAACATCTGATAATTAAATATTCAACCTCCTACGCAATTATATCTCTAAGAGTTGTACGAGAGCAGAGGAACTGCATACCTAAAGCAGTCTTCCATACTTCTGAAAAAATCATTGTGACTTGCATGATAACCCAACAGGGGAATGGGACTAGCTTGCTGCCTGTTTCCCATGCACATCACTTTAGTCTTTGTGTACTGGTTTCCATGACAAACTTATCTACTAACAATAAAAAACTGTCTGTAACCAACACAACCAGAATTACTCAGGACCCCAGGAACGCAAGGGTGATGGGATAGTGGTTTGTGCACAAAATGTTGTGGAATCAAAATTACAAAATCCACAAAGGTCTAGAGTAGAAAACTGTTTATTGAAATTTCTCCACTATGTTCAGGTTTTTTTCAAGATGAAAGTTCTTTCAGAACCTCCTGTGACTTCACACTATGTTGCTTTACCTTTACTGACAGTCATTTCAGTATCTTAATCAACTTAATTATCACAAAGCCTCTCTGTGTCAGCCTAGTGCAATAAATTCTGACTTCTCACCACCTGTCCTGGTTTCAGCCTCCCTTCTATCAGTATCAGTAATGATCCTCTGAGACATTTTATTAAATACTGTGACTTTTTCCACCATAAACACAACATATTATATGAAAACTAGGACATACACTAGTGACTTTAGTTCCCCCTTTACATTCCTGGGCTCCACCTCATGGCTTCCTGTACCTCAGTATAGAGTCTCTGTTTTTCTCATGTATTTCATCTGAAGATGCTCTTACACATCCACATGCTTGTGGATCAGATTATTGCTTTAAAGAGGATGACCTGAGTGAGTCAGTGATTGGCCACTGGGAATTGCAGTTTCATTATAGTAACTAGTTCTTCCTAGGAGCTGATAACCAGACTGATATGTGAAAAGAGTAATTCTTCACCTGATAGCAGACTTACTAGCTTATTAAATTATATTAGATAATATGCTGCAATAAAATTTGATTCCAGTTCTAATCAGCTAGAGTTTTGTCATTGGCTTTTCTCTCTTTGAGTATATGAAAGTCTTTTGGTGGCTTATGCCTTTAAATCACTTCTAAAATTACTTGAAAACAAGCATGATGCTCCCAAAAGGTGTAATACTTACAATACATTCCTGTTCCTGATTTTCCATGAACCATGCCTGTTTCAGAAATTCTGATACCATAGCCATGTTGACAGAGTTTCTGGGAAGAGATGCATCAAGTTACAAACCATTTTTCGTCAAGTTACAGACCATTTTTCACCATTTTCAGCACCAGTGCAGTTCAAGGTTTCCTACTCTCAAAACCTTTTCTCTTGAACTACGTTATGCAGAGATTAGTTTCCCAAGCAGTAATTGGCCTGTGCTATTGGAAGCGGGTAACTCTTGATTATGTTTGGCAGGCGACACAATGCACCACAATTCCTTGCTCACCCCTACACCCTTAGATACTTGCATAAGTTTTTAGATTAGAAATAGAAGAGTAAGCTAGTTGGACTATTTGCTTATTTACTATGGCAATACCTACACATTAGCATTGACTTACAAAAGGAAGTTAACAGAAACAAATTAAAGTCTCTCTTTCCCCATTAGTTAAGATATCAGCTATGCCCATTTAGCTTACTAAATATTTGATTGTGTTCTAATTCAGTGGTAAACAAGTATTCTTATCTGATCATTTACTAAAGTTGGAGCTCTTTTGAGTTATGTTAAGATAAAAGATATTCCCTTGTTAAATATATTCTCATGATTTTTTTTCCATTAACCGCATCCTTAGGAAGACAAATAAAATCAGACAGCTTCACCTACACCATTCCATATTTATTTCATATTTCCTCTAATTTCTACAAAAGGATAGAGCATTACCCATCTAAGAAGGGAAAACAAGCAATTTTTGCTTTTTACCATTCAAAATGAAAATCAGTCCAGCTTTTCCAAAAGATACTATGCAGAATGGGAAGAAAAAGACCAATGGTGTTATTTGACATTGAGCACCCAAAAATAATTAAAGCATTGCATCATAACAACTTTGGTGTGAGCAATATTCTGTTTGCTAACAGAAATAATGAGGGAACAAAAAGAAGAAATTAATATTTTATCAAATAAAGTATTTTTGGTCTGCTCAAAATAGATGTTATTTCTTTTTCAAAGCACACTTTCATAACAAATTCTAGGGAAGGCTTGGGTTTAAAGCTTACATGTAAACAATAAACCAAAAATAATGTTGAAAATGGAGTGCCTTCGAGTCTAGTGTGAAGAGATAAGATGCTATTTGTGGTCTTGGGGTACAGATCATATAACATAGATCATACACACGAGTATAAAATATGACATTTCTTATACTGTAAACGCACTTGCCTTTCTTATGCCCTGTGTCCCATAGGAAGGGCAAAAAGTAGACATTTAAAGTGACACAAATCTAGGACCAAGCAGTGTAGCTGCATCCCAGCTGCTTTTTTCACTCATAGCAAAACTGTAAAACTCATTTCCACAATTATACTTCCATATTAATCTGCCAAGAAAGCAGCAGCTATCTCCCACGGCCCTCCTCTAGCCCTCCAGCCCAGCTCCATCCTTCCCATCCCTCTCCAAGGCAGCAGCCACCTACACTCCCCCTTCGTCAGAAAACTCCTGCTTTTGTACCCTTCCTTCAGCCATGAAGTCACAAAATTCAGCTCTGCCTGTGCTGCTAGAAAAACTGAAACTGACTCCGAATCTGTATTTATATGTTTCTTAGAGTAGGTCTCATCTGGGTAAATAATGGTCAGAATGTTGTGTAAGTTGTAAGGATCAACTTTTATGCATCTGTCATTTACTGAGGATAGAATACTTATGTTGCTATTAAAAGCAGTATTTTATCAAACTGCTATAATGACTCATGTACCTTTCTTCTATTGACAGTAGTAGCATATAGGGCTGGATGAAGTGCTATAGTTTCCAAAGTTCTGCTGCATTTTATAATATACTAGGTACACTGAGTCACCAACAGTGACATGTACAGGTATGTCTGTTGACTAATAGATTCACAGAATGTACAATCATTTAAAACTAAGAGACAAAATTCAGTCTCACAACACCAGATCTGAGATGAGGTAGGACCATAACACAGTTTTGGTTGATAGTGTAACACTTCTCAGGATTAAAACTGGTAGAGCTGGCTTCAGGGAGAACTGCTAACATCTCCACCTCCCCCACCCATTTTAGAGGTTTTACTGTTCTGGGGTATGACTGGAGCAGAAGACTGCTAGTCTACACTAAATGCAGTTTATTAAGCCTCTAAACATTTATGTCTATTCTAATTTAAATTAGAGATACAGTAAAAGAATTCTGTGCCTTAAAAACTTAAGTCTTTTTTTTTTTTCCCTCCTTTTTAAGTAAAGACACTTTGGCCAGCAGATGCATCTGTTTCCATCTAGCAAACAAATAATGTAATTTTAATAGAAGTCAAAGTAGGCAATGGCTCTTGAGAAGGGGATAAAGACCTTACTCTGATTGAAAGTTAGACTCAGAAAGTTAAGAAACCACCTTACATGTACAAATGTTTGCCTGCTTCATAAGAAACTATGGCTAATAACAAAAAAGAAGACTGGAATCTAGTAAGACAGCCAGCCCCTTGACACAGTGGAGGTCTTTCCCAATGCTTTGATTCACATCACTCTAAAATGCAAACTGTTCTTGTAAACAATACCTAGAGCCAGGAGGGATAAATTCAGTCAAAATATTATTTTAATTTAGTAAGAATTCACTTCCCAAACCAGAAAGTGTAGACATCCCATTTAAAAGGAAAGAAGATCAATAACTTAACGTTTCTCAGTTTGAAAAATATTGTAATTTTTAAGCATCCTAATTAGAATGATCAACATTGCAACTGGAATGAAAAAGCAAACAGAGATCCAGATGGAAAGTCCTAACTGTTACTTCACAAGAAAAACTGCAATGTTGCTTTCTATCTGTCTCCCAGTCCACAGAAGATTCACAGAATCACAAAATGGCAGGGATTGGAAGGGACCTCTGGAGATCGTGTAGCCCAATCCCCCTGCCAGAGCAGGAATACCTACAGTAGGTCACACAGGAACGTGTCCAGGGGGGTTCTGAATGTCTCCAGAGAATGAGACTCCACAACCTCTCTGGGCGGCTTGTTCCTGTGTCCTGTCACCCCCACAGTGAAAAAGTTTTTCCTTATGT